AGTTCCTCGGCCAGATCCAGAATCGGCTCCTCGTCCCTCTCTTCTTCGCCTCCATCGGCTTTTCTATCCCTTTGCGAGACGACGATGGTAGTGCCAAGAGACGTGGCGCTCAGGGAAGCGCCGGCAACGAAGGCTTGGAGTACTGTAAAGCGGAATGCAAGGACCAGCAACAGGAAACTGAATGCGAATGGAAGGATCACTCCCGTAAGTGCACAGAGCAGAGAGAGGATAAAGTTATGTGAAAGCAGACCGAGGTCAGTGGAGAGGGCACCTTCCAGAACGAGCAGGATGAGGCCCAAATAACCACAGGCCGTAAAAGTAGTTTGCCACTCTTTCGGTAACCACCCTGTGAGGGGAGCCCCGTAAATGGAACCCAGAATAATCATTCCAATGATCTCAGCTCTGAAAAGCTTCTGGGCAGCAGTCCTGGCGACCTGCAAAAGCACTAGAAAGGACGCCAGGACTAACGTCTCCTTTGTCGATGGCTCTTTATACCTATCACGAGGGTGAGATAAGGACATTATAAGCCTCTCTTGCAAAGGACATACTCGAGGAAATGCTCCGACATTTTTCTCCTTTTTCGCTGCTACTACTGGTTAATCGCTTGTCGTACACGAGCTCCGCCAGAGTTGGCGAATATGTTGGGAGCGTTCGAGTGGTACGCCTCCATTAAATAGTCGCGGATTACAGAGTGGCCGCCTCAACTCGGTACATCCGCCAGACGCATCCCGCTTGGCTTTCTGCGTCCCTGGGAGGAGACGATGGTGGTTCATAAAATTGAGGAAGCAACAAAGATGAACGCTTGGAGTGTCATACAGTAGAAAACGAGAACCAGTGAGGGAAAGCTGGAACCATGACGCTTGTGACGGCAAAAAGAACCGGCAAATCAAAATTTTGGGTCATTAGCTTGGTGAGAGCATGTGGCCGAGCGGCGTGACAGTGGCCTGCCATTGGATCGACCACTACTCGGCAAGTGGAGTCTCGTAAATGGTCCTCAAACTCATACCAATAGCTCTTTGGACCTGAGCAGCGTCTATGCAAAACACGGGTAAAGAAAGAAGTGATGCATTTCGATCTAACGTCGCAAGTGTCTTGGTCACAGCTGCGGTTCTGGACGACATTGTAGGCCTCATCATGGCCTCCATCATACCACACCTCGGCCGTCAACAACATTATAACCTTGGTTGGACAATAGGAAGACCAATCACTGCTTTTTTTGGACTTGCTGTCACCTTGTTTGTCCTCGCAAAACTTCTCGAACGGGTACCATGGGCAAAGTTTCCGAATCTAGCTCGATTTGAGCTTACCCCAAATCGGACTAGCTTCTTTGCCATGACCTTGACCTTGTTCAGCGTCGTCGCTGCAAGTGCGTATGCGGGAACTTCATCTTTGGTTGGTGCATTTGCAGCAGGACTCTTTCTCGCCTACTTGGGTGGGATGTCCGCGCCTACAACAGATCAAATGAGCAGTGACCCAAGTGGATCACCAGCGCCGTATTTTCTTACCATCTTCGAAAAGTTCCTCGGCCAGATCCAGAATCGGCTCCTCGTCCCTCTCTTCTTCGCCTCCATCGGCTTTTCTATCCCTTTGCGAAACCTTTGGGACCCGCAAACTGTCTGGCGTGGAATTACTTATGCATCTCTCATGCTTATAGGCAAGCTCGCTGTCGGATTATGGTTGCCGGTCTGGTCGTTCTTTCGACGCAAGTATTTCGGCCAGGGTGCATCCCGTGCGACAAGCAACGTACCTATTGGCAGCTCCGAAAAGGGAGGAAAAGGTGTCCTGCACTCTGGTCTCATGTTAGGGTCAGGAATGGTTGCAAGAGGGGAAATAGGATTACTCATTTGCCAGACTGGGTACAACGGTGGGGAAGGACCGTTACCCTATGAATTATTCACTATCTGCTTATGGGCTATTGTAGTCAACACTTTGATAGGACCAATCCTCGTTTCTTTAATACTTTGGAGATGGGAAGCATTGATTATGGATGGTGAGTGGGGTACAAACACCGTTTCCATTCCTTCACCCGCTTCAGCGGTCGAGGAGCAACAAATAGAGCTGTCAGCAGCGCCATAAATACGTATTAAATTATTTTTATTCATTTATCGTAATACCATACATTTAAATCGAGTACGGGAGATCTGAAATCTGAGAGGCTGGGCGTATATTGGCAGGTGGAGGTTCTACAGTGTTCAACCCTCATTTAGCCACTTCCGACCCACCCACCAAAAAAACCTTATTCGGCATGAGTGGAAAACGCGCATCTGCTGGTGACAGTATTGTAAAACCAGCTGAAATCAGTCCAGATCTTCTCGCGAAGCTAGATCAGCTACAAACAGAACAGGACCGAATGGTGCTCAAAGATGAGTTCGATTCGACATACAGGATGGAGGCCTATTACGAAAAAAGGCGTAGCAAACTAAGGGAAATTCCAAACTTCTGGTTTACCGTTCTTCAGAATGATACCATGCTCGTGGCGGCCTGTGGAAACCATAGTGAGGACCATGAAGCCCTCAAATACGTCGAGGACATCTGGGTAACAAGGCATAGGCCGGATCCACGAGCGTTCACAATAGAATTGGTACATTTACTCGATTGATTACCTGTGGAAATTGCTCATGTTTTCACTTTATGTATCGTAGCATTTCAAGGAAAATCCCTTCTTCTCGGATAAAGTGTTGAAGAAGGAATATAAACTCGCCAAAGAACCATCAGGAGAAGTTATAGATGGCATCTATGATAGCATGCTCAATTTCAACCCTGACAAGGATCTGGTACCCTCTACCCACAATATCAACTGGAAGAGTGACAAAGTGAACTTGTGCAAGAGGTACCCGAAACCCGTCAGGCCGGAGGACGAAGACGCCATGGATGAGGTCACGGATTTGGGTAGCTTCTTCAACTTCTTCCAGACTAAGGAGGATGAACTCGATGTAAGATCTAGTTGACAGTACTTGGATATTGTGCCACTGACACGTACCGATAGCTGGGTCCTCATTTAGCTGGCGAGGTCTATACTAGCCCAATTACGTTCTATAAAGGAGAGTTCGATGTGGGTCCATCTACTTGTCCTCGTTGAAATTTGGTTGACTCTCGATATTTAGGATGACGACGAAGATTTTGAAGATGAAGATATAAGCTCTTCAGAAGATGACGACAGTGACGCCGAGGAAATCGATTTAGAACGTCCAAAGAAGCGAGTGAAACGTGCATAAACAAAACGATCTTCGAGACAACGCGTAGTGGCCTTTTTGGTTCAAAGGAAATGTATTAAAAATCTAACCAGCGGTCTCCGCTGTGAACATGTCAGCGTTGGTCATGTAACTGGATAAAAACAAATTCACTTATTTACTACGTGATTCGTCCATGACAGTAGCAGTCGACCATATCTCCTTTGTCAGCTTGTCCTCCATCTGAGATGCCGCTAGAAGCTTCGCTATTGTCATACGTCGAACAAGGTCATCCGACGATAATGCTGAAGTTGACTCTCGTCGTAATCGTACAAATTCATCTTCAATGAACTGCAAAATCATGAGTTGGTGCACGGGATTGTGGGAAACTCTGGTCACCTTGCCCACTTCCTCCTCAAGGGTAACCGTCAATTTGCGACAAGCTGCTATGTAATCACGAAAGGAGTCTAGTTTCTCTTTTGACGGTAATTGGATATCTTTAGCCTCCTTGTACAGAGCTTTGGAAGTCATACCATCCTTCAAGCGGACAACGACATCAGTTTTTAAAAATGCACTTTTACTCCCACTGGTAAGGACTGCGAAAATGAGGTCGATGTTGAATGAGAATGTGCTGTAAGGGAAAGAATAGGCGAGAGACTGCGTGGAGATAGCCGACTGCAATGCGTTCAGATTTTTTAGACCTGTAAAGGTTATTGAGATGTTTTAGGGCGAATGATTCGAGATTCCTACCAACCTGACTCGGATACACGCCCTTCACGAATACCACTCTCTGTCACAATCATCACGGTGGCTTCTGGTTGTTGCAGGAGACCTGCGTGAAGATCTTCATTGACACTATTTGGAATCAATGAACGGCCGTTTATCCTCTCTAGTGTCAATGGGGCTGTCTCTACGGCAGGTAGAATGCTCTGTAATACGGAGATAATCGCTGGGCGGGATGAATCATCCTCGGAAGGATCCGGGAAGGATGCTATGGTAAGGCTCAAGGGAAGGATGGGCGGTGAACGGGATTGTCTACGGCTAGTCAGTAGTCGCAGCCAGGTGGCATGAGGTACTCACACTTTGGTTAAGCTCAATAGAAGCATCCAAGTTGCCGTTGAAGTGTCTCCACCCAATCCTTCATTTGCAATCCACTCAATCAGCTCCTTCCTGATGGCGTTCGCGTCCGTAGGCAAGGATGCTTGTAATTGCTCCATATTGAAGACACTAGCATCAGGGGAATCCATGGTAAAGAGAACATGGAGAATAGGTTGGGTTGTTTTGGCAGTGTTCTGCTGTTCGTTACTATGGGCATTGTTCAGTCTCGTGAAGGAAGTGATGAAAGCACATACAAGTCTTCATCTTCTATGGATTCCTCATCTAATATACCAACGAATATCCTCGTTTCTCCTGGTTTTAGATTGCTTCTCCCATCGTATAGCTGTAAAGAGTTTGCTATTGAACAAGTGTTCCTGGACTGTCACGTACCTTCGCAGATATCCCGAAACCTCCCTTAATATCAGAAGGATGCTTATATTGCTTACTACATGTATAGCTGGGAAAACTTATTGCTAGAATGCACACATGTGAGTAAGGCTGATTAAGCCATCCAGCCAGCTAACTTACGTGGGGGGAATTCTGGTCCAGAAAATCTCTAAAAAGCCGTCAGAGATTATTAATAACACATAAATCATGCACTTACATCCCGTGCCCATTCAGATTGAGCGGGTAAAGTGACCACCCAAACAGACTCGCGTTCCCTGAGCTTCGAATAGTCCATGGCTGTGCTTCGATCGTCGTTTGCGTCTTGCTCTGAAGGTACCTGGTTTTCATAGATACCCCATCCGCCAAAAGACCCATCATCCAGTTCGCTTAGGTAAACTTCAGGAGAGGCTGATGTATCTTGCACCATTCCCATAAAGCGCACGAGACTCCTTTGCCTATGAAGAGTTGGTGGATGAGAGACTCCGAGAGGTGGTATCTTTTAAGGTGAGTTACTTGGAGAACGCGATATCATGGCGAGAAGCATACTTGATAAAAGGCATCTTGTGGTGAAAGGAGATCCCTGAAATGATTCTCAACGATGTTTATGAATTCAGGTACACCTTGAGATTTATACAATTGTTTGATCTCATTAGAAGGGTTCGTAATCGTGTCATAGAGTATTGGAGACACCATGGCAGGGTCAAGAGCAACTAGTGTAAACATTCGCCACTCAAACTAGCTACCTTTGACGGCTAGCATCAGTGCCGCTTTGCGAGCGTATGAAACACAATTGTGTATAATAATTCAAGTAAAAATTGTCCCAGCCATCAGGTTTAAATTTCTATTGCCAAGTTGCATTCTCATGCCAACTCGAACTTGGCCACCGCCACTTCGACCGATTTTCCATCGTGCTCACATTTACCTATAAACTATCACAATGGTATACTCGACAAAAGAACTTGTAGATTCTTGGTTGAATTGGGATAGAGTATGTAATTCATATCTCGATAACACACTCTAATCACGTGCAAAGAATGAAAATACTCGAGCTGAAATTCAACGACTGTGGGATGAAGGGAGTACTGAAGAACTGGAGAAGCGACTTAGGTATGACTTTCTATTTCTGGGTTCCCAAATTTCTTACCATATTAGAAAACGTATCGAGTTTGGCACGGCAGGTCTGCCATTGGCCTTGTTTTTGTGTTCTCCTATCACCCTGTCTTACATCTCTTCTCAGGTTTGAGGGGTCGAATGGAAGCGGGTTTCGCTCGAATGAATGATTTAATTATCATCCAGGCAACCCAGGTGGAATTCAGAGCCTTTCAACCCTATACAACAGGACTGAATCTTAACAAAGGGTTTATGTAGCTACATATCCAATAACGTAAAGAAAGCGCAAGAACGTGGGGTCGTTGTGGGACACGATCATCGATATAACTCGGAGAGATGGGCCCAACTCACGGCAGCTGTCTTTTTGGATGCTGGTTTCAAGGTCTATCTGCACAGAGACTTGGTTCACACCCCACTGTAGGTCACCAAAAAGAAGCAGAGCCTCCAGACTAATCTCGTCTCTAGTGTCCCATTTACAGTGCAGCAAACTAGAGCAGCTGGTGGAGTCATGATAACTGGTCAGATTATTTATCAGCACACTCGTCTTACCCTCACTTTACACTCTCTTACAGCTAGTCATAACCCCAAGGTACAACCCAATAATGCCCTCCTCATGAAGCTGACATCGGGATTCAGAACGATAACGGATATAAGGTGATTATTGTATGTCATAAAGTCAGCTTGTTTATCCTATTCTACAGGTGTACTGGGAGAACGCGGTTCAGGTATTTCTCAATCTACTGCCCTGCACACCAGCCTACCTTCAAAACAGATCATCTCTCCACACGACAGTGGAATCGCGGATTCGATAATGTCCAATCTCCAGCCCAAATTTTCCTCATCGTGGACTGATGTAGCTCAGAGCGTCTCTGCAAATTCCAAAATAATCGACTGTACACAGGATATGTACGAGAAGTATTTCTCTACATTGAAGAACCTAGTAGCGCCCATGTAAGTGTGTATTTCCTTATGTAGATTTGGCCGTCTCTAAGAATGCCCTAGTCCTACTAACAACACTATCAAATTTGTGACAACACCTATGCATGGCGTTGGAAACAAGCCTGTCATGAGAGCTTTGCAGGACATTGGACTTACCAGCGATTGCCTCTCAGTCGTCAAAGAGCAGCAGAACCCCGATCCAGAATTCCCTACAGTCTCATTCCCAAACCCGGAGGAACATGGTCAGGATGTTGTTCACAAGACCGATTGTTACTAATAATCTGATAGGTGCATTGGTAGGTTTCATGAATATGCAACCGAAGTTATGAAACATCTCCACTTCCAAGGTCTTGGCGATGAAGACGGCAGGCGATAATGGTGCCACCTATATTCTCGCTCAAGATCCAGATGCAGATAGGTTTGCAGCCGCAGAAAAGAGGTGAGCGACAGCTTACACTTAGATTTGTAGACATGTATTTACGTGATATGCAGGCCTGACGGAACCTGGCATCAATTTTTGGGAGATCAGCTTGGCTCTCTCCTCGCAGCACGTGCCCTGGAGAAATACAAGCAGTCCCAGAAGCCTATGAGTGGGCTACATTCCAGTTGCTCCTGCAGCGTAACAATGACAATAAACGGTTAACAGGTCAGCTGGCCATGGTCGCTTCTACTGTTAGCTCCAAGATGATAGAATCCATGGGAAAGGTGGAAGGTTTCAAATTTGTGGAGTGCCTGACCGGTGTGTGAGGCGCCGTTATGCTGGACTTAGCCATCTGACGCAATCGCAGGATTCAAATATATTGGCAACGTTGCTCTTCAGCTGGTAGAACAAGACTTTATTGTCCCATTTGGATATGAGGAAGCGATTGGGTTCATGGTGGAGACTGGTATCCGTGATAAAGATGGAGTAAGCGCGACTGTACGTACAAGCTCGTCTGTCTCTTTGATTTTAGGGGTCACGGGGACCCACCCGGAGTTGTATACCCTTGCTTATTTTCAAGATATAGCTGGCATTTGTTGAACTCGTGACCCAGCTGCATGCACGTGGCTCAAGTGCTTTGCGTTATATTGACGAATTGTATGAAAAGTAAGTTTCGATACCGTCCTCTTTCACGTGTAAACAATTTTCATACTGGTTATAGATACGGTTATTTCGAAACTAATAACTCTTATTTCATCTGCAACGATCCGGCTGTGATCGACTCCATCTTTCATCGCCTACGGAACTATCCATCGACGTCTCCTGGGCAGCACCAAGACACATGGAAAGGGGCCAATGGAGCGACCTATCCATCATCCATTGGGTCGTTAAAAATTAACAGTATCCGAGATCTCACCTCTGGATTCGGCTATGATTCAACTACCCCCACCTTGCAGCCAGAATTACCTCTCTCTGGCGGACATATGGTCACTTTCCGAGCAGGTTCCACGCAGAATGGTGGTGCAGCAATCACTCTTACCATCAGGTAGGTGGACGATCTTCATTTAGGAAGATCACTGATTTCGTAAATTAATCGTTCATAGGACCAGTGGTACAGAGCCGAAAATCAAATACTATCTCGAAGGTCAAGGAGAAAATCGTGACCTCATTAAATCCGTCCTGAAGAAAGTTGTCGAAGAGCTGAGAACTGAATGGATGCAAGCTAGCCAAAATAGCCTTCAGGAGCCTTGATCGCGAGAGAGGTTCCAGAACTCACCTTCAATATATCAAATCTTTTCCGAATATAGAGAACGTAATGTATTTGAGATGGCTGTCACTCTGGATCTTCAATCGGTTTGAGAGCATATATTTTGTAGGAGCCTTTGCCACGATTATTGGGTCAAACGTGTACGGAACAGCCAAAAAAAACTTTACCCAAGAAATCATTTAGATCATAGTTAAGAAGCGAATTGACGACATTGGTCAAAGAACTCTGAGTCAAGGTGGTCGTTTGAGCTGTGCTTGGGATGTTCTCTTGTGTCTTGCTGGGAGGAGCGCAGCAAGCTGTCTTGAGACTACCACCGGATTTAGTCGAGGACTCTACTGTGCAGCATCCGCCCTTAGTGGTGCTGGTATCGTTGTTATTCGGCTGCCCATAAGCCGTCGTATAAACATTTAAATCAGCTTCAGAATCAAGCAAAAGAATATCTAGAAGCGAGATCAGGAATTCATACGGCCTATGTCCCTTTAACTAGTTCATACCTTTAAATCCGGCTTCGCGAAGATAAGATTCGTATGTAGTATAATGAATTGCTCCAGCAACGCATCCAACATAGGCCGCGGCATCTTCCAGGACAGAAGGGGGCAACTCCTTCTTAGCAACTATATCGCTGATGGATGTCCTTCCGCCTGGCTTTAGTATGCGATATATCTCTTTCAGAGCGGTACGTTTCGCTACCTCCGGAATGAGGTTTAGGACACAGTTTGAGATAACACAGTCCACACTGTTTGATGGAAGAGGTAGGGATTCGATTGAAGAATGAATAAATTTGGTATTCTTTAGGCCCCTCTTCTCTGCATTTTCAGTGGATAATTTGATCATATCCTTGAGACACACCCAAGGAATTAGAAAGGTGTCCAGGTGTTAAATAATGAAGCTCCAAACTCACCTCAGTTATATCGATTCCAATGACTTTCCCCGTGGGGCCAACTTTTTGTGCAGCAAGGATGACGTCCATCCCTGCTCCCGATCCTAAATCGACAACCACCTCTCCCTCGCGAAGATGGCTAGTGGCAACTGGATTTCCACAGCTGAGCCCCATATTTGCTCCTCGAAGTTCATCTATCTCAGATGCACTGTAACCAAAAGTGGCCGCCACCTTGTTAAAGTATGCCTCATTGCCAGGTGTACTGGCAGCAGATTGATTGGCAATCGTACCATAATGTTGCTGAACTAGGGTGTGAATGGTCTCAGATGTAGACATATTTTTATTCACGTATACGTTTATTCATGCCATATAAGTCGCAGAGAAGGTCTATGGCAATGGCCAAAGTCGCGGTCGGGACCAAGTTGTATCTCTATTCTGCGGTACCGCAACGTGCGTCGACAAATAGAAGCTACTGAAGTTACGCAATCGATAACTAAGTGCCGTAAATTGTTACATAAGAATACTGGCATTTTGGTTTTAAAAAGAGCACTACTACGCTCACAGTTTGGCCTCACCCAACCCCGTGGGTTCTCGAAACTCGAACAAAATGTCACAATTGGAAGAATCCCCCATGTTCATGCAGTCTTGTCGAGACTGCACGTTCTGTGACGGTCTTGCCGAAAAGCCAGAAAAGACGAGGAGTCAAGATGATGTTGATAAAGGAGCATCCACTCAACCAATCACTGAAAGGGCGTCCTTCATGGGTGATTCCGTGCTATAATTCATTCTATCTGCAAGAACTAATATGCTGTTCAGCCCTTTTTCGCTCGCTTCCGTTCTTGGACCGGTATCTCGCCATTTTTATATTGGGGGCGATGGTAATGGGCATACTACTGGGAGTTTATAAGGTATGGTTATAAGATTTTCTTATGAGTTCGAATTCTAAGTGCTTCTACAGAATGATCAAGTGCACCGATCCTTTGGGGGTAGCTCTTGGCATGGGGTATCGACTCGTTAGTCCCTTTCTCGTCGTTATTGTATCCTCCTGAATCTATATATCTCGCAGCAATCCTTGTCGGGCTCTTGGTCATGATGTGGCCCATCCTCACCAAGGTACAATACGAACGACTTCCTACTATATTCTCTACCCGCTCCATTTGGATACATATCAGCATTTCAATCTTCCTTAACTGGGTTATCGCTCCCTTTGTAATGCTTGGCTTGGCCTGGGCTACCCTGCCTGAAAAAAGATTGGATAGCGAACGCCAGGGAGTCATCTTAGTGGGCATAGCTCGGTGCATAGGTGAGACTATCACACAGACTCCTCCAGATATCTGATTAAAAGAAAAGCTATGGTTTTGATATGGAGTGGACTCGCTCAAGGAGACGCTGAATATTGTGCAATTCTCGTTTGCGTCAATTCCGTACTCCAGGTATGCTCTACACTAACTTTGTTCTACGTACTCACAAGCCTAGATGCTGTTATTCTCCCCCTATGC